GCATTAAATGCAGACAGGCCTTTAGGGCGAGCTGGGCATCATAGGGCTGCAGGCTAGTGAAGAGAAACTCAACTTTTAATAATTGAATTCTATGGATTGATTTTCTATTGATGATGAGGTTTGGATATATAGTTACAAGGCGGAGTGATCCTCTCCGTAAAATCTGCCCTAATCTATATAATTATAGCAACAAATATTCTCATATACAGAAATAATATAATTACCATATATATATACATAATACCCCCCCTCAAGTTGGAGCACGGGGATTCTGAATGCCCAACTTGCCAAGAAAGTAATCAAACTGGGGCTTTCCTAATGCTTTAGTGAAGATGTCGGCAAGTTGTATATGAGTGGACACATAACTAGGTAGAATGGTACCCTTGAGAACCTCATCGCGGACAAAGTGACAGTCAACCTTGATATGTTTTGTTCGCTCGTGGAAGACGGGATTAGCTGCGATATGAAGAGCAGCCTGACTATCACAGAAGTGCTGAACTGGCTGAGGATGTGGAACGCCAAGAAAATGTAACAAACCCCGCAACCATTTAACTTCACAGACTGTTGATGCCATAGAACGATATTTTACTTCGGCGGAAGAACGGGCAACCGTCTGCTGCTTCTTAGTCTTCCACGAGATAGGGGAGTGACCCAACTGGACAAACCATCCTGTAAGAGAACGACGGGTCAACGTACAACTAGCCCAATTGGAGTCACACCAACCAGTCAACTGGAGGTCGGAATCAACCCGAAGAAAGATCCCCTTGCCAGAATTGCCCTTTAAGTATCTAACAATCCGAAGTGCAGCCTCCCAATGCGCTTGCATAGGCTTCTGCATGAATTGAGCGAGGGTATGAACACAATAAGATAACTCGGGTTGTGTAACAGGATTGGTTAAAGGAGTATCAGGATTGGTTAAAGGAGTATCAGTAACTAGCGGAAGGTGATGATTCTGCTCCATAGGAAAACCGGCGGGTTTGGAACCCAGAAGACAAACCTCATAAATAATATCCAAGGCATACTTGCGTTGGCAGAGAAACATGCCAGAGGGATGACGTGCCATCTCAATGCCGACAAAGTATTTGAGGGTGCCAAGATCCTTCATGTGAAAGCAATTAATCAAATAGTTTTTGAAAGACTGAATGGCAGCCCGATCATTACCCGAAATGATGAGATCATCCACGTAGACCAACACAGTAAGTTGAACAGCTGCTTGACGAAGGACGAATAAAGAATAATCAGAAGATGATTGCTGAAAGCCATACTGGCGAAGAGCACTAGCCAACCTGGCAAACCAACACCGCGGAGCCTGGCGCAGGCCATAAGGAACGATGAAGGCGACATACTGTCCCAGGAGAAAGAGAGGAAAAACCAGGAGGGAGCCGTATATATACTTCCTCGGCCATATCACCATGTAAAAAGGCATTGTGAACATCCATCTGATGAAGTTCCCAGCCCTTCACAGCAGCAACAGTAAGAAGTGTACGCACTGTGACCATCTTTGCCATGGGAGCAAAAGTCTCATTGTAGTCAAGACCCTCGATCTGATTATTTCCCAAAATGACGAGACGAGCCTTGTAGCGTTCGACCGTGCCATCTGAGCGGTACTTACTTTTGAATACCCACTTGCACCCAATGGCGCATTTTTCAGGTGGAAGAGAATCAATACTCCAAGTACCACTCTGTTCCAAGGCCTCAATTTCCCGTTGCATAGCACCACGCCACCTTGCGTCTTTAACAGCCTCGTTAAAGAAACGCGGTTCCACCCCTGCAGTGACACTTGCCAAAAATGCTCGATGGGACGATGAAAAAGAATCACAAGAAACATAATTGTGTATGGGATAAGACGCACCTAAGGAAACCAATGTGGAGAAGAGAGCGAGAGAGGGGCCTGAAGAAGACACTGTGTGGGCGACAAAATCCTTCAAGCGAGTAGAACGCTCCTTAACCCGATGGCCACGGCCTAAAGGTTCCTCTGGTGGAGTCGAAAAAGAGAGGAGGTATCGGGAGTGTCAGAGGTGGTCAGAGAGGCAGAGGTGGCCGGAGAGTCAGAGGTGGCCAGTATAGAAGGGGTGGCAAGAGTAGACTCAACAATCTCCGTGAAATCATCTTCAAGGATAGAAGGAGAGTCAACAATAGACGAACCAAACGGGAGAGGAGTCTTGTTAAAGTAGGGAAACTTAGACTCGGAGAAACTAACATCACGAGAGACAAAAAATTCCCCAGACTCTAAGTCATAAACCTGCCAACCTTTTTGGCCAAAGGGATATCCCACAAATAAACACTTGCGACCTCGAGGAGAAAATTTATCACCTTTAGTATGTTGATTATGGGCATAATAGAGGCACCCGAAAACACGCAAGCGAGTTAAAGATGGGGGTTTTCCATACAAAATTTCACACGGGGATTTTCCCTTTAAGACACTGGAAGGAGTGCGATTATTTAAGTAACCAGCAACAAGTATACAATGTCCCCAAAATTCTATTGGCAAATTAGCTTGAAAACGTAAAGCTCTAGCCACATTGAAAATATGCCTATGCTTAAGCTCTACCCGACCATTCTGTTGAGGAGTCCCGACATAAGAAGTTCCATGTAAAATACCAAGTTGATGAAAATAAGAGGATAGAAACATGAATTCAGTCCCATTGTCACTACGGACACGCTTAACTGTCTTGTCATATTGACGTTCAACCATAGAAATGAAAATTTTCAACTTCAAAGAAACTTCCGTCTTATCTAACAACAAGTATATCCAGGTAGCTCGAGAAAAATCATCAACAATGGTAAAAAAAAATAACGTGCACCAGAAAAAGAGGGAATCCGATAAGGACCCCATAAATCACAATGTACGAGTTGAAAAATCTCTTGAGAAACACTTTTACTGATAGGAAACGAAGTTCGAGACTATTTGGCCCGAAAACAAACATCACAGGCCTTATTGACAAAACTACCATCTTTGGAATGACCTACACTAAGAATCAAGTCGAGAACCTTTGGAGAAGGATGGCCTAGACGTTGATGCCACAAATCGACTGAAGGTGCCTTATTGGTAGTAATAGCTGCAGAAGTCTCCAATCCCGAAAAAAATAAAGCCCCTCTCGTTGCTCACCTGCTCCAATCGGCATCCTCGAAGTGAGGTCCTGTATAACACAAAAATGTTTAGCAAAGTAAGCAACCGAGGCCGTATCCTTTAATAATTGAGAAACCGAGATCAAATTGCACAGTAAGCCAGGGACATATAATACATTAATCAATGAAACTTTGGGGCTAAGTACTGCGGTGCCCGCATTAGTAGCGACAATACGTTGATTGTTGGGTAAGTGAAAGAAAACACCCGGGATATCTTGAACAGTGTTAAAATGACATAGTGAACCTGTCATATGACGGGTAGCTCCAGATTCATACATCCAATTACCAAAGACACCCTTACCAGACAAAGAAGTTGAAGGGGCTATAGACGGTGGTGGAGCCGAATTGAAAAAATTTCGCAAGGTGGTCCACTGTGTTAGTGTTATATACTGAAAGCTTGGCTTTTCATGTTATTACACATTTACCCTTTATGAATGAGAATCATGTTAGATTAAACAAGTTCTACGTTCTGTTGTTCTGCACTTAGATAGGGTGGGTCGTCATCGGGCGAACCGAAGATCACTCTACCAGTCACTTGTGAACAAGAATAGTTGTTCACAACCTAGATGGACACGAACACTCCATCCGAACAGTTGTAGTGTCAACTGTACAGTTTGTCTTGACTGATTAGTTTCACTAGTACATTTATGTATTGAACAGGATCCCAGAGAGGAGAAGTTCATTTTATACTGATCGTCGTAAATGAACTAGGCCTCGGTTAATTACTACGTTCTCTTAACCCGTAAGATATTAAACAGGCAGATATATATAATATATATTACTTTGATTCACATGGGTGAGGTTCAGTTTGCTGGATTAATATTCCTACTGTTTTGGGTAATATTATTATATATAGGATGTGCTGTTAGGATATTTACGGTCACCATGTGCGTTAGTTTGATGATGTCCCCAGAGTGAGTTCATGAAGGATTATTATGCTAAACCCTGCAGGTGGATTAAGTTCCGCCATAATAAGAATGTGATGGACGAGCGCTAGCTTCGGTGAAATAATAATAAATTAATTAATTCTTGATTGTCAGTAATCGAATTAATTAATGGACATTATATCTTAAACGTGGGGAGGTAAATCGAGTAATTATTATTGGAGTCTCAAATGTAATTTGGGCTAGGAAAAAGGGAGTGCAATAATATAATGTTGGTGGCCCATTAATATTATTTAATTAATTAGATGAGTGGGCTTGGCCCACAGTTAGTCTAATTAATTAAGGAGCCCTTTTTCTAGTCTCCTAAGGGTCCCTACTGTAACTCTATATATACATCATTAAGCTCATGAGAAGAGAATCCCAATCTCATTCTAACGAGACACGCCCCACACCTCTCTCTCTCTCTAGATCTCATTCGAGCTTTATCTTCTTTATGTTGCTCCACTGGTACAAGTAGAAGAAGGGTGTATTGAGTAATACAGTAGAAGATCTATAGGTAAACCGAGACAAAATATATTTTGACCTACAGAACTAACAGGAAGTCCAATTGAGACGTACAGCATACCCAGACGACCGTCTCGACTAGAGCTTTCCATCGCCGCCGAGATCGCAGCCGTCCGACGCCTCACGTGCCCTCACGCGCCGCTGGAAGCTCCCAGGCTGTAAAGTTTCATTTTGATCTCTTTGCATCCGTTTGATCCGATTTTGATCTGATCTTGTTCGTGATCAACCAGATCTACATAAATTTTAAGCCGTAAGTTCTTTACGTCAAACCTTTAGATCCGCTACGCATAGGTTTACGTTTTCTATTGAATTCGTGACTTGTACATAACGAGATCCTCACAGATCCTAACACACTGTTCGTGATTGATTCCTGGAAAGGCTGAAGAAGAATGACCGCCATCAACACCAGAAGTCGAGAAGCCATCACGGTATTTGCAGCCGCGACATTTGGGACAACTCCACCAACACCGCCAGCGTGTCCACCGCCACCATGTGGAGATTTGGTATTCCCGCGACCCCGTCCACGCCTACCACCACGAGACCATCCTTCGGGAAACCCGTGGAGTTTGTAGCAAGGTTGAATGGTGTGATTGGCGCGGTTGTAGTGGGTGCAGAATTGACCTGATCCGAAAGCTGGTATAGTCGGCGCTCCACCACGCCTGAAATTAGGGAAAATAGAGGAGGCAGCCAAGGCGAGTGCTCCGTCTCCAGTGCTAGCAACACCAGGACTAATCCCAGAAAATCCAATAGGAGTTTGAACAGCAAAACTCATCTCACCAGCGGGATCTTTCGGTTGAGTCATCAAACGGAGGCGTTCCTCCTAGACAATCGTTGAAAATGCCTTCTTCAACCTAAACAGATCTTGGGAGATAAGGGAGGAGCGGACAATGGCGTACAAATCGTCGTCAAGGCCGAGTAAGAATTGATGCACTTTTTCTTCCTCCAGACGTCGTTCAGAGGCCGCCGTAAGATTGCATGAACAACCACTGCAAGAACAGGTGAGGGCAATGTCATAGGAAGCGAGTTCTTCCCAGATCTTCTTGAGGCGACCGTAGTAAGCGATGACGCTCGAACCCTTCTGTCGGCAATTGGCAAGATCCGACTTGAGTTGCTGGATTCGAGGACCATTAATGATGGAAAAACTTTCTTTTATTTCTATCCACTAATCGCGAGCCACCTCCATGTGAGTGAGTGTGGATCGAAGAGAAGGTTCAACGGTATTAAGAATCCATGACACGATGAGTGAGTTTATTGTCCACCAATCTTCTGAATCTGGTGAAGATTCAGACGGCTCAGGAATGGTACCGTCGACAAATCCGAAGTTCTTTCGGGCACTCAAGGCAGTCTTCATGGCCTTAGCCCATTCTTCATAATTGCTCTCGCCCCGTAGTTGGACTTGAGTGATAATATTGCCAGGGTTATCACTGGCCGTAAATTCAAACTGCGAAATAGTCCGATGCCTGGGAACATCGTCACCACCGCTGGAAGTATTCCTCTGGGAGGACTCTAGGGTTTTGTCGCCAATAGAGGAAGACATGGTTGGCGATGAAAAAAAAAACACAGGAGATAAAATGAAAATAACAAAAACAGGATCAAAGAAACAACCTTGTCTCTGATACCATGAAGAGAAACTCAACTTTTAATAATTGAATTCTGTGGATTGATTTTCCATTGATGATGAGGTTTGGATATATAGTTACAAGACAGAGTGATCCTCTCCGTAAAATCTACCCTAATCTATATAATTATGGCAACAAATATTCTCATATACAGAAATAATATAATTACCATATATATACATAATAGCTAGGCTGACACATCCCATCGACAATCATTAGTTGACAAGTGGCATTATAATATTATTTTCTAGGTCCTCAGCCCGTGCGCAGGCCGACTTGATGGAACCCTCAGATCAGACTTCGACCTTTAGTTCATCCTCCGGCCTCTGGGATCATATTCCTCTATTCGACATCTTTCCAGGTCGGTCTTATCGCGAGGCGGTTCGTGTGCCGACCTTGTAAACGGTGTGGCTTATCGTTCTCGCTGACTTAGTCCCATAGCCAGCTCGGCATTCTTGCGGTTGTTCAAAAACCGGTCCTGATGGTTAGATCGCCCTCCTCCGGTTCGTCGTTCTCGAACTGGAGCTCCCGCATACGTCCAACTTGAATATCAACATAAGCATTTATAAAGTAGCTCTTTGTTCTTAATTTAAATCCAAAAGTATTTCTCCCATAATAGATTATACGAAATTAAACTCCCAAAAGGAATATTACTTGCAATTTTGCAATATTCTTTATTTATATGGGTACAATGACATCCTAAATTATATAAAATATATCACTTCATATCTATATATATACTAATATAATACTCATGTATTTGGGTACTTGTTAAAATATTTATACTAAAATTTAAAAAGTAATAGTACAATATAATATCCGTGCATTACACTGGTGCTTGTTAAAAAATATATACTTAGATTAAAAGAGTAATAAAAAAGTATATTTTAAATTTAAACTTTTTTAGAAAAGAATATATTATTGATGTTTATATTTAAAATGGCACTATCACATATACTACTTAATCATCTTACATTATAATAATTTATTAACTTGTATCATATAACTACTTTGAAGTTAAATTTATTTAAATGATAAATAATCTTATGTTTTTCAACTAAAAGTAATAGATGATTTAATTTTTATTTGTAAATATAGCTATAGTTATTTATTTTCTTTATCATTACAACATAGATGTCAAACCCATAATAAAAAATTAATAATAAATATAAAAGTTCACTTTCAAAATATATTTACATATTAAGTTAGTAAAGTGTATTATAATAATAATAAAAAAAAAGATTGGGAGAAAAACAATTGAGGCAAAAAATTTCATTTCTTATAAATCACGTGGAGAATAGAAAATTGTATTAAAACACAATTAGTGCTCATAAAAATGGTCATAAATATCCAGTATATGAATAATTTAAAGTCTAATTATTTTTTAGTTGAAAGTAAATTAAAAGTTATCAAAACCAAGTGAAGAAGCATGAAATTTTGACAAATATGACCTCAAAGTGTGCGAGCCTGCCACTTAGGCTCAGCACATTCGAGAATTATTTATAAGGGGGATAAAAGATCTGTATTTATTTGAAATACTATGATTTTTCCGCAAAAAAATAAAAAAAATAAAAATTGTTTACTTAATATGAAAAAAAAAATTAAACATTTTTTTTTACATTTTTTTCTATTTCATTTAGTAATTTTTTTACCAAATGTCGTAAGACTTTTTATTTTTATTTTAGTTAATGTGATATGAATAATTGATCTAACTATATTGATTACACTTTTCAAATATTTTCAATCAATTATTTATTTCTACCTAATATTTTTTTTTGGTGATGTGATATCAAGAATTTAAATTAAACTCTTTAAAAAATTTATATTACTTCATGACTTCCAAATCTAAAATTTTATTTCTTTTGTATAATATAAATAAACGGATATGGTTATAGGTTAATCACTGAAATGATAACTAGAAGTAAATTAATATATATAATTTAAAATATTTCCTAAAAAAATTAAGAAATTTAATAATATTTCATGTTTAGTTCCATATTGAAAAAAAAAAAAATTGATAACATTTGTATATATTATTCATTTTTCATATATAATATATGATTAACCTTCAATTTATAATTTTCGATTTGACACTTATATTGTATGTATGAATAAAAAAAGTACTATTAAGGTTATTATTTAACTGCACATATATAATGACTTCAAATTTATTATTTAATACTTCTTTAAAATAAGGAATTTGTTTTAAGTTATTAATACAATAAGATATAAATGTATATATATAATATAATATATGTAGTATAATATAAAAATAGTAAATATCCCTCATGGGTTTAAAAATTTAATCTTAAAAAAGATAAAATACCAGAAAAAATTATTTCGATGATCAAGTATGATCGATGTAAAACTGATAAACTAATGGGTCAATTGTTGAGCTGCCATGTAAATTATTAAAATAAATTAATATTTATAATAGGTATGTTAATAATTTTGATCAACCAACGAGTAATATGTCGAACTGTCATGTAAGTTATAAGATTAGAAAGAAAGAAAAAGTCAAAATATACATAATATAGACGTTGTCTTTGAAGCAGTTGCATGGTACTGACATGTTGTAGACGTGGTTTGATTGTTATAGATTATGATAACAAACCAACAGATCATGTGTTGAACTATCCGTGTAATTATACAACTTCGAAAAAATAAAAATATTGATAATAATTGTTATAAATTATAATGATAAACCAACAAGTCATTTATAGAACAACGATGTAAATTGTTACCTTGGAAAAAAAAATCAAAATATTTATAATAAATATTAATATAAATTATAATATTAAGCAAATTGTGTTGAACTATCATGTGAATTGTTAAATTAAAAAAATATATATATATATTTATAATATACATTATTATAATCGTAGTTAAAAATAAGTAAACTTTATAACTATAAATAATCAAGGGCGGATCCATAATGTTTTTTTAGGGGACCAGAATTGTCATTTGAAATATTATTTCCGAATATAACTCGAATTGATCCATGAAAACTCGAGTAACTAATTAAATTTGATTATTAAATGAATCGAGCTCAAGCTCACATTTTTGTTCAATTATTTAATGAGTCAAGCCAAGCCTACACATTTATTGAACAAACACGAGCTTGATCATGACGTATTCAACTCGACTCCAATAAAACCTCTAGAAGGAATTTACAACATGTAATAATATCACATTTTGTATGCATACTAGCATTCGATCATGTGCACATGCACAGATGCAAATAAAATTTTCTATGTTATATGTATGTGTGTAATATTTAAAAGTTATATTAGCATATCACATTTTATGAATTTTATCATTATTAAAAATAAACGATAAACTATTAACTTACATATTAATTTTTTATATCGAATGCAGTTATATAATTTTTGCAATATTTTTTATTATGAACAATTGATTAGATAAAAAGATATTGAAATTATTATTATTATAGCAATTGTGTACGAAATTTTAAAAGTTTTTGTTATACATAAAAATTAAATAACTAATCTTCATAAAAAAAAGTTGCTTAATGAGTTAAAAATTATTTATTTTCAAATCACGAAACTCATCATCAATTGACTCTGTAAATAATTCTTTCAATTCTTTGTCAACCCCCTACTTAAAATTATTTATTTTCAATTTTTTACATATTCCGTACATTCAGTTTAATCAGTTACTATATTGTAAAAAAAAAATATTATATTTAAAGAGTGTAGAAAATTACTTAGAAATTATGATATAGTTATTAGTACATAGGCCATTTTAATAACCGGTAATTATTATGGGATATATGTGATAAATTGGATATGCTTAAAATATATATAATATATATTGTACATGGTAAGAAACAGTCAAATTTTAGCAAAATGTCTATATGTATGGTAAAAAAAAATTAAAAGTTTTGGGTGGGACAATAGCCCCCCTAAGACATACTTACATCCGCCCCTGTAAATAATATACACTACAATATTTTTAAATTAATTGTCAGTTTATAATATTCGTCACAAATACGCAACTTTACCATTACTTATTTAGAAATTAATAACATATTGTTAAAAGGTATGAAAAAGGAAAAAATAAGATAAGTATTTTTTTGAGTATAATTTGTTGATAATGTTTAAATAT